AAATAATACAAAAAAAACAATACAAAAAAGTCCTAACATTGTTTTTCAGATGGGGATAGCTAACAAGATGGAAATGGAAGTCACTGAGTAGGATTTGGGCAGTATATGTTTGGCTTACCCCAGACACACCCTGTTCCTGCTACTTAGAACTCCCGATGTGATGACTGGAACTCCAGAAACTATCTTGAGTCATGAGGCAAACTTGAGATAAGACAAGGATGACTGATAAGAAAAAGCAAATGATGGTACTATGATGATAAAGCCACCATATCATTCCAATACTACTCATTCAAGACTTTTCACATAAAAAATAAATGTATACAACTGTTTAAGCTCTTTAAGTCAGGTCTCTATTAGAAGCAAAATGCAATTCCTGATATTTAAGTCCTGTAGGATCTTTTAAAATAAATACATATGAAACATTTATAAAAATTCAAATAAATTAAAAAATAACTCCAATTAATAGTAAGAATTGTTAATAATGTATTCTTATACCCTAAGAAACTACTCAAAGAACTATAAACACTATGTAAATTCTATATTAAGACTAAAAAATAAAGACTTTATTTTCCAAAAACAATTAAATTTTAATTTCTCTAGGGGCACCTGGCTGGCTCAGTTGGAAGAGCATGTAACCCTTGATCTCAGGGTCATGAGTTCAAGCCCCACGTTGGGTGTAGAGATTACTTAAATAAATAAAACTTAAAAAAAAAGCTTAAATTTTAATTTCTCTAAAGTAAGAGACATTAGCATGTATTTTAAAAAATACATGTTTGCCATTTGTATCAGTATTACAGACATAAAGTATCCACTGAGTTCCAAAGTAAGGGTATAGTGGGGTTTCTCAACTTTGGCACTACTGATATTTTAGGCCAGATAATTTTTTGTTGTTGGGGCTGCCCTGTGCATGTTCAACAGCCTTCCTAGCCTCTACACACAATATGCCAATAGCAACCCCCCAATGAAGACAATCAAAAATATCTCCAGACTTAATGAAGGTCCCCTGAAGGAAACAAAATCTCTGAGAAATGTAGTTGTTTTTGCACATCATTTAGTACTTCATCAGGGTCTTCTATTAAATAACAGAATTTTAGAAATGTAACATTCCTAAATTTTCTCTAAATTTCAATGTGGGAGAAAAACTATAAGTGACCTACAGATTAGATTATCTCTAGTGTCCGTCTTAAACCCTCAGAGGATTTCACACGACAGAAATATTAATAGCTTCTATCTATTTAATCTTACCTATGGGCTAGGTATAGTACTGAGCACTTCAGGTTCATTTTCTCCTTTTCTACTCATGACATCCTCATGGGATGGCTATTAACCATATTGTAGTAAAAAACAATTTAAAATCTATTTTAATCAACATATCAAAATATTTCCAGAAACACTTCTTTATCACTCACTATATTCTTTCTGGCACTAAACTAAGAACAAAGTACCTTAACTTGCTAGTATAACAATTTATGATGAAAACATTTCAATATACCTAGCCGCAAGGTAAGTTGAATTATTACAACCTTGGAAGTTTGGAGAAATAGTTCACAGTACCAAAGAAGTCAGAGAAATAATAATTATCTGACTATTTCTTGAACTATTTTTTATACCGTGGCACAATGAAAGAGTACTTTTAAAATTTTTCATCCTTGATTCCCTGAGTACTTCCAGTAACTACTTTTCCCTTTTACACAACTTGCCAGAAAAAGTTCATTTTATAATTATTTGAGCATTTTTTTTTAAAGATTTTATTTACTTATTTGACAGAGAGAGAGCACAAGCAGGTGGAGCAGCAGTGGGAGAGGGAGAAGCCAAGCAAGGAGCCTGATGCGGGGCTCGGTCATGACCTGAGCCAAAAGCAGACGCTTAAGCGACTGAGCCACCAAGGTTCCCCTAATTATTTGAGGATTTATTTGTAATTTCAATCTGCCTTTCAGTAGAAATTGAAGGCTGGGTTCAAATCCCAGCTTGCCCACCTACTGGAACTGAAGACAAGTTAACTTTTTCAGGCCTCAACTTCAATTATGTAACTTGCATAAGACCAATATGAAGGCCCTAATAGTAGGCCCTCAATAAAAATTATTTTTCCCCCTCCTTTCCTCCTTAAAGCAAATGAAATGTCAGTTAAGGACCAATTCTATTTAAGCATTTGTTCAGAGTCTACCAGTAAGAGCCAAGGGAGGATGTGACAGAAGCAGTTAGTCCAACATTAGACCATGTAACCAACACTTTCAACCTCTCAAATTCATCATCTCAAAAATTAGCTGAAACCTCAGGGGCTATTCCCTTAGTTTAAGATTTTTATAATTACTGGTATTGCTTCTCAAATAGAAAAGGTATAGTGTAGGCAAAATTTATTACGTACATTACCTACTGTCTTCTGTTTTACTTTTCCTTGTGGTAAAAGACACAAGAAGCTCTCTTGAAGTGTTCCTTCCTCTTTCCCTTCACCCACACAACTAACTGCCAAGAAATTTTGATTCATATTTCTTTCTAAAAGGAAGATAAATAGGAGCCTTTCTTTTCAACACCACAAGGCTCCGTGTATAATTCATATATTTAGTTAACTGTCACACACCCAAGTGTATATTATCCATTTTATAGATAACCCATGATTAAGTAATTTACTAATGAATATACATTACTTAATATTATTCTTAGTAAATATTAGGAAACCAAATGCTTAAAAAGAAACAATCTTTGGGAATTAGTTATATGAGCCAATGCTTCCCTTACTGGCAAATAAAACAGTACTATACTAGAATTATATTAAACAATGGATAAAATTCAACTTAATAAAGATAATCCTTTATTCCATCTTAAAGTTTTATACAAAAAAGAACTTCACAAAGCTCACCTGCAAGGTAGAACTAGGACAGGAACCCTAAGAACAGATCTACTGGTAATCTAGAGTACTATAAAATATGTAATGAGGTTTCAGGTAAAAGTTGGTAACATGAAAGTATGTCAATATAACTTAACTCATAACTTAGCAATATAAAATAAAAGTTCGTTAAGTATTTCCTGTTTAGTTTGTTTTCTTGGATATTTAGGAGGTAGTGGAGTTTTATAGAACCATCAACTTCATTTGTTCTTAAAATAATTTACTGTCACTATTCAGATGCTGTATTTCACAAGCTAAATTTACTCATTTGTTCTTAAAACTGATTTCAAGATATAGAAGAGCAGTTAAAAGTTCTACAGAAATGTTCTGGCCCTCAAAATTTCAAATTCTACAGCAGTTAACAGTTATCTGATCAAGTAAATTAACAAAGCTAAATGTAACCAAAACCAAGTTGCTCATTAATGATATAAAAAGCAAAACACAGAAAAAATGAAAACATTTTCTGCCATTGACTATATTAAAGAAATCAATTGCAACCTTATTTTCAGAAATTTAAAATTACCATAGATACAAAGTCTACCTATAACATGGTTTCTACATATAAAACATAGTTTGAATATAAGTACTGTAAAGACACTGAATCTCTAAATCCAGTGAATGCCAATACCAAAAAAAAATTTTTTTTCAATAAAGTCACTTAATAGAGAGCAACGCCAAAGAAAACTGACACACTTTATACCAAGACAATTTCCACCTTCAAACCAACTTATCTATGGAAGTGGGAGGAGGGAGTTAAAAAACAATTTATTTAACCTAAAATGTTAAAAACTTACCTGAAAATGTCAACTCCATCCTTTTTCTTTCAATGCTTGCCAAGGCATAAAATCAAATTTCAGGAAACACAATGCTCACTTCTTGTTAACTTTATTCCTACTTGTTACCACAATGAAATTAATAGCTAAGTTCAATTAATATGTAAAAGATTCAAATCCTTTACATACTCTCTCATTTAATTACTCTATTTGGCAGAAGAGGAAAGGAAGGCACAAAGAGATTAACTTGTAGGTTACTTAGGATACAAGGTAACACAACTAGGAAGTGGTGGAGCCATGATTTGAACCCTATACATCCAAGATAATAAGCAAATAAAAAAAGAAACGGAGTGTTAAAGGAGTGTAAAAAAAAAAAAAAAATCCAAAACAGTTCTCAAAACAAGAGTGTTGTGAATGAGAACGAAATGTTTAAACTATAAATACACGTAGATGTAAATGTAAATTACACAAATTTTACCCCTAGACAAGTACTTTGTTGCCCTAATATTTGATTATGGTCAAACACTTTAAACTACATCAAATTGTAGTGGCAGACGACCAAGTAAATAATTTACCGTCACCGTTCGGACACTGTATTTTACAGTCTACATAAAATACACTGTAATTTAAAACATGGAAGGGGGTGGTGAGGTAACCAGAGCAATAGTTTAAGGAAAACTACTTTCTCCATCAGCAGTTCATTAGAAAAGAGAGTACGTGTGTCGAGGAACCAGGGTAAGAAAAGGAAAGATGACAATCACACTGCCTTAACCCCACCTCCCAAAAAAGTAACTGGAGAACTGGCCCACTGGGATCTCATGAGGGGATGACAGGAGACCCTAGCAGAGGGGGAGGGGTGGCGATGACAGGAGAGGGGGCGGTAGAGAGAGGGCATGCCACCCATCTCCGAAAAAGGGGAGAATACGGGGGGCAAGGGGCGGAGAAGGGAAGGCAGGAAATGTTGCCAGAGATACCAAATGAGGTGAGAAGGAACAGGGTAGGAAACCCAAGAAGGCGGGACCCTCGGGCAGAAAGGGGTCTGTTTGGAGGAGAGGAGGCATGTCAGTACACAGCCTTCCTGCCAGCTGACCCTCCTTCCCTCCAGCCCCTCCACCCCTGACAAACTCTCACTTTCTCAGCAACCCTAAACCGCGGGTCATCCCAGTCCCGCTCCCTGCCCCCCACCCCAAGCGGGATAGGTGGAGAAGGGAGCTTCACTCTCTCCTTGTTGGGTTGGGGGAGCGAACACCGGACACAGCCCTGATTCGAGAACGAGAAGGCCAGGAGACGCAGGGAGGCCCAAGACCCGGGTGACAAGTCCGGGAGGCCGACGGGCGCCTCACCTGACAGAAGCGTCGGCAGTAATCCCGACTGCTGATCCCAAAGCCGCCGACACCGCAGCTGCCGCCGCCAGCGCCACCTCTGCCGTCGCCCGCAGCTCTAAACCCAACAGGGCCTGGCGGGGACTCCACAATGGCCACGAGCTCTTCTCCGAGGCGTTCGGCCTCTTGATCGCTCTCTTCCTCCGCCATGAGGCTCTCGCCGCCCAGCGCGTACCAGCCCCTACGCCGCCGCCGCTGTAGCTGCCTCGGCTAACCTCCTCCTCCTCTAGTTCCCTCCCCCTTCCCTCCGCCCCAGCCGGACAGGGGCCTCTCGGCTGGCTCTACTTCCGGCTCCGCCCACCCACGCCCCCAGTTTTCATTGGAGAAGTCTAGCCGCCAATCATACACATGCCCACCCTTCCACTCCCATTGGCCAAATCAGCCGTCTGTTTGATAGACTCGCGGTCTGTTGGTCAATGCTGCTCGGCGGTTGCTGGGGACCGCCTACGAGCTTTGCCGTAGGCGGTGCAAGAGGACGGGGCGCGGCGGGGGACACGGCGGCCGCCGCGGGGCTCGATCGGGCAACGGCGACGACGGCGGCGGCGGCGGCGACGGGTCTTCCTCCTCCCTCACCCCCTTGCTCCTTTTTTTCTTCCTCCTCTTTTCCCTTCCGGCCGGGTCTCGTCCACTTCCCCTAACGGCGGCCCCGATCCTACGGTACCGAGGAGCTAGGGAGGCCGAGGGTGGGCCCGGCCGTTGGTGCGGGCTTTGGGCCCGGGGCCTTCCGTCCTGAAGCGGGAGCCGGGGGCGGGGCCGGGACGCCGTTGTCGGCGGGAGGAAGAGGGAGGAGACGGGAAGCCTGACAGCAGACGCCTCCGCCAGGCGCCTGCCGCCTCCTCCCCTGAGACTGCCGCCAACTCTGCTGTCGAGTTCCCGGGCCCACGGCCGGCAGCTGGGTCTCGGCCCTGCCCAGCTAGCGGGGCAGGGGTTGTGGGGCGCCAGCGTGCTGAGCTTGACGCGGGAGGAGGGAGTCTAGACGCCGGGAACGTCCCGCGCCCCGCCTTTCCCTCCCCCTCCCGAACCCTGGGGCCTGGGGCGCGCGAGGAGGTGCAAAGCGGGGCGGACAACTGAGAAAGGACTGGGTTGAGGAGTGTTGAGGTAAACGTTGGGATCCGGATTTCTTGTGTGGAGTTAACCTAAAGGGAGCGGTTTTAAAGACACCTCCGTGGTGGCTGTGTCGTTCTTGTTCGTCTTTTTATCTACCCTTCGTTCCCTCCCCCTCCCCCATTTTTTCTTTCCATTTGTTTTTCATGTTTTACAGTAAAGGCATGACTTCCCGGCACCGCAGGGAAAATAGGGTGCAAGCCCAGAAACTATTTCCCCATCACCACTTGTTGAAAAACTGATTTGAAGGCATCTCCGGGTTTGAACAAACGAAAGTGCCAGGATTTCAAGCGTCTTTGGTTTTGCGCTGGAGACCCTTCACTACTAAGTATCAAGACGAAAAAAACTGGAAAGTGATCGGGTAAACACTTAAACTTGAAAACTTTGAGTTTTATTTCGATCTAGTAAATAATTTGCTTCGTTTTTGTTGGCTAATTCCTGCTCTTAACTTTTTAACTTCCTCGTTTAAAATATCTTTACCTTCTGTTGAAAACACTTTTGTTATTCGGGTCTCTGTAAAGTTGAGCATCCTCTACTGTGTGGTTATTTGCCTCTACAGTAACACAAACAGATTTTTGAAAGTTACAAGACATTGGAATGTTTAGGCCTTTCGCATTAGCACAAACTGAGCATTTTACGCTTCAGAGAATAATGAACATGTTTATTGTTTTAAAGTTTGAAATCCAAATATTTAAAGACAGAAGACTTTCACAGCGAAAGATTTAGGTATTCCTGGGCACAGATATTTAATGTTTTTCATAACTAGCTTAGAACAAAATTAATCATAATTTTGACTGATTTTCTATAGGAGTAAAAAATATGTACCATTGACTTAAAGTACCAACATGTGTAATGGAGTTCATTGCTAACTGTTTTGGGGGCAGGAATCCTTTCCGTCTTGTCTGCCATTGAAAACCTATAGCCTAATACAGTATTTGGCACATGAGAGTCAGACATTGAACAGTTTGTTAATGGAAAGAAAATAGAATCAAATGTATTAAAACTTAAACTTTATCATGTTTTGCAGAATTTCTGTGAAACGTTAAGTTTGTCTCTGAGTTTATGTCCACAGGTGTCTAACGCATTGGCAATTTAGAGTTCTTTTGAGAAAGATTTTCTAGAACCCAATTACGAATTCTCTAGTATGGGTTAAGAGAATACTCCATTATTGTTGATTACACTTTTAAAGCATTGTTGTTGAGAATGTATTTAGGAATTTTTCTCTAATGTATTTATAGAGAACAGAATTCCATCTTGAATTGTATCAAATTCATTTTAATTTCTTATATATAAGCTAATGTGAGAGCTTAGCCCAAAGGCATGGCTCCAGAGAACAAATGGTTGTCACTGACATTTGTTCAGTATCTCAAGTTTTTAGTGTCCATAATGTAATGTCATGATTTTGGCAAAGATCATAAAAATTTGTTATTAGGGTAAATTGAGAAATTATTAAGCTGCTTCTGAGTTAAATACTTGGAAAAATAGTAAAGATAGTCATTTACTTATTCCATCAACAAATTGTGATTGAGCACCTATCATATTTACTAAGCATTGTGTTAACTTCTTAGATTTGTTCTCACTTACTAGTTAATAAGTGAAATAAATAATTAACAAATGTATTAGTCTTTATTGGAAAAAAGAGGGGAAAAGTGTTAGAAAAAGCACTTTGCATATCTTGATTATCACGCTCTAGAAAACTCAGTGGAGGTATATATGCATTAAAAAATGACTTACGTTGAGCTCTGTACCTTGGCTTTAACATTTAATGTCATTGTTGCTGCTGTTAATTGCAGTTGGTCTGTTTCTTTTTCAGTTTTTGCTTTTTTTCTTCTCAGAACAAATCTTCATATAGAATTAGGCCAGTTTAGTGGCCCACCTGTTTGAACAAACTTTGTACACAATTGCCTACAATTGTGTTCCTAAAATCAGTTGTCCCAGAACTGTGAAGGTAAAAGAAGCTCTTTTAAAATTCAGTACACATCTAAATTGAATGAGAGTAACATAATTAATACCCTAAATATTGACATCAGATTAGGTTTTCCTAAAAGATAGTGACATCTGGGTTAGTTGGAGTTCTTTTTTCATAGTTCTAATTTATTTGAATTTCATCAAATTCAAGGAAAGGACCCAGTTGTTAGTAGTAACTTGCTCTGGTTTTGCCTTCCCTTACACATTTCAGGTAAGACTTAATGGACACACAGCCTATTAATTTAAATTAAGTTTTCTGAAGTCTTTAAGTCTTGAAATGTTTATACCTGCTTTTTATTGTTAATTACTTCCCGAATGAGCTTTGTTGTAACAGTTATTTTTGTTTCTCTTGTTTTGAAAGAAACTATTCAGAGTCAGAATGGAAAGATTTGTAGTGACAGCACCACCTGCCCGAAACCGTTCTAAGACTGCTTTGTATGTGACTCCCCTCGATCGAGTCACTGAGTTTGGAGGTGAGCTGCACGAAGATGGAGGAAAACTCTTCTGCACTTCTTGCAATGTTGTTCTGAATCATGTTCGCAAGTCTGCCATTAGTGACCACCTTAAGTCAAAGACTCATACCAAGAGGAAGGCAGAATTTGAAGAGCAGAATGTGAGAAAGAAGCAGAGGCCCCTAACTGCATCCCTTCAGTGCAACAGTACTGCGCAAACAGAGAAAGTCAGTGTTATCCAGGACTTTGTGAAAATGTGCCTGGAAGCCAACATCCCACTTGAGAAGGCTGATCACCCAGCAGTCCGTGCTTTCCTGTCTCGCCATGTGAAGAATGGAGGCTCCATACCTAAGTCAGACCAGCTGAGGAGAGCATATCTTCCTGATGGATATGAGAATGAGAATCAACTCCTCAACTCACAAGATTGTTGACAAGGAGGTTACCACCATTGTGATCAAGATAAATGTGGAGTATTAAAGTTATGTGTTGATTGTGTGGTTCATTTTTATATTTATTTCATTTAAAATCATGTGATGCAGAATAGTTTTGCAATGTGTATATAGTTGCAGGCAAAAAAAAACAAAAACAAAAAAAAAAACCTCACTGCAAAACTTGTTAATTTTAGTCACCAACGGTGTAAAGCAAAACTTAGGGTTTAGAGTGTGCTAGGATACCTGAAACCTGATGGTTATCTTTAAAATTGATGGTTTTTCTCCTGAAATGTTTGTGCATGGAAGAACTGCCCTGCTTTTTTACCCTGTTACCATATATGATTATTCCTTGTGAGATTACTTAATTACTTGGATTGAACACTAGCCTAGGAAATTGAAGCTGCTGCCAGGCAACACCACTCACAGTAACTAAAAGGAATTATTTCTGAGAGGATCCTCTTCAAAAAGGAAGGGATGGTGGGAAATTGTTCTTATATCTTCAGTTCCCTCGAAGAAATGACTATCTTTTTTTTTCAAACTATGCGTGTATATGATGTAGTTACCTTATCTATCTTTCAGTTCCTCACTTTTTTCACCCTTTTTAAAGGCTTATTGTATTTAGCAGCTTCAAGTGACCAAAAGACTAAAATCTCAGTGTCAGTGCCAAAAGCCATGGGGAATTTTGCAGTGACATGAGTTTAGTCTCTTACTATAAACAAATTTTTGAACCATAACTCATTTCAAGCATCCTCTTGAATTTGCAAGCTTTTTTTTTTTGTCTTGATGTTAAAAGATTTCAAGATTGGCATTTTAATTTAAACAGACATTTTATGATTGAGTTTCCTGTTTTTACAGAAAACTAGTAATTTTTGGCTGACAGATAAGATAATAAGGAAATTACTTTCTATACATTAATTTTTCCATATGATTTATAAGACTTTAGGTAAATAGACTAGAAACAAGTTTACTTATTTTCACTTTTATGTGCTTTGCCTCTGGTGGTACAAGGTTTTTAAACATGGATGGTAAACAATTGTCTAGAAAGACTGGCAAGATTTTTGTAGTGGAGATGTGGCAGTATCCTGCATAACTGTTTGGGTGTGGAAATAATCAGTTCTGTTAAAGGTCAACCATGTTCAGGAAATGATCTCTATGTGAACCTCACTATCCTGTAATGTCATCAAAGTAGCTTAGCCCAGTTATGTCCTCTCCATTGGAGACCCAAATTATATTTTTTAAAAACTAAACAGCTGAAGACTTGGACTAGAGCTTTAAAAATGAATCTTAAATTCCTTGAAAACATTCAAGTTTAAAATACTTATATATTTCTATTACAAAGCACTGACATGAATGCCCTATGTGACTTGGAATTTTCTTTGAGGTCATTTTACCACAAATCTTCATTAAAAAAAAAAGCCAAAGTGAATAAGAAAAGGTTCTATTTTTCAGAAACAGCTTCCCATGTCTAAGTTTCTTTCACAGACTTAAGTTCCTAGTTCAGGTTGTTAAAAATGCCCATCTGATTTTTAGATTTTAAGTGGGTTTTTGTTTTCATTTTAAAATAAGCCTGCCACCAAAAAAAAAATTTCTTGTCAAAATTTGAACTATTGAGTTTTTCTCATGTTTAGTTATGTAAACTAGCACAATAAATGCCTGGAGTAGTGCTGTCATTGCTAAGCACATACATGAGACCAGCAGCAAAACCAAAATGTACTTTGCTTTTACTTCCCCTAGTAAAGAATTTGCAGGCAACCATGTTTAATTTGAATTATCTAAGATGGTAGAAGATCTAAGAAGCTAGGAAAATAATTGAGTTTTAAAGCATTTTCAGAATACAAAAATGAGGTTAGATATACAATCATTCTAATTTTTCAAAATTCCATGTGATTCAGACTGCTCCCTATTTCAATATTAATTTGCACTAACAGCAGACGTAGTGGCAAAACAGTTTTGAGTAGTCCTAAGCAGTAAACTGGATAATGTTGCACAAGAAAAGTCAATAATTCACATTTGAGTTTCTAGTACTTATTACTGATTTGATGATCATTTAGGTCCCATATGTCTTAATGTATTTCTCCAGGCTCCTAACTATTCCCACATACACTTTATCTAGGGGCATAATCCATCCTCCTGTTAGGATTATATCATGTCCTGAGAAGCATTTTCCATCCGTTGTGGAGGTTTGTTCGTTTACTGATTATGAAACTTTTTGTTCCCTGAAACTGGTTAACTTTGTCTCATAGTCAATTGATAAGGCAGAATGATTGTTTAGCCTGCTCAAACTGGTACAAATCCGTGAAACCATGGTTGGCATATGTTGGATAACAAATGAAAATGTCTAAGGCGTATGCGGCTGTGGAGGTGTAGTGGACGTGTGTACAGAAGCTTTCGATCTTAACTATATAGTGTTAGTGTGATGCTATACTATTGGAAAAATAGCAATTTTTTCTATTTTATAAGTTGTATGCATAAACATAAGATTTGTAATGTTTCATTTATAAACTGCCTTTTTCAACACATGCTTACCTGTTGATAGTGTTTTCTTGAAGTATGGTAGTATGTCTTCCAGAACTTCACTATATGCTTACAGTAAATAGTTACTAGCTTGTTGAAATGTTAAATTCCTTGTTGTTTTGTTTTGTTTTGTTTTGTTTTATTCTGTGGGGCATATAGCAAACCTGAAGGACATTGTAATCATTTCTTACAGGGTGAAAATTTGGAAAGATTGTGTATGAGAGCCTAAATAGTTATTTTATTCATTATCATCGTTAAGACTTTTTTTTAAACAAATGCTACTTCCAGTTAATGCATTTGGCCCTACTGAATTTTGGGGGACCAGAAAACTTTGAAGAAAAAGCTCTGCATCTTACAATTGTAACCAATTAAGTATCCGCTTGGGATTGTTCTGAAGTATTCATTGCTTAAAAACTATTGTAAGTAACAGTTGGCAAGATCTCCAAGCAGAAAGTTCCATGTTAAAACTTTTGCCTGAAAGAATTTGTATGTGAATGTTAATGGAAAACACATTTAAACAAAATAAAATTTAAAGTGGCCCAAAACGAAAGCCACAAACATTTCGTCATTTGGTGCTTAGTCTTTGTGAGGGCTCTCTGTGGTTTGACTTGTCCCAACTGCCTTTAAATGAGTGCAGATCACCTTAAAACATATTCATTAAATAGAAGATTCATCCTATAATTTCACTGAAAATCTTAACCTAAAGTATAAATTGCTTTAGTTTCTGGTCAGCACTGATTAACTTGTGAATAGTGAGGTGGCTGTCCTAAACCATTTATCTCAAATCCATACTACCCTAGACTTCTAAGGTAAATATAATTCTTACCTAGTGGTATTCTACTTGTATCCACAATACTGTATTCATTAAAACTTTACTATGTTTATTTTTGTATTCCCGTGCTTGCTTTTTTTTGCTCACGCATGTATCCTTAGTAAAAATGTGTCACGTTTAAAGTTTTGTCTCTGTGACTTTTAGAAATAAATTTCAAAAAAATTGTTTCAGAAGTTTTGAAAGCATTTTGTGAGTCAGTAACATCTATATATTTTTTAATTATTTATTTTAAGTAATTTCTGCACCCAACGTGGAGCTCAAACTCATGATCCCAAGATCAAGAGTCACATGCTCTACCAACTGAGCCAGCCAAGCGCCCTGTATTTCATTTTTCTAAGTAACATATTTTGTAGTTCCAAAATAGCAACAGAATTTTACTAATTTGAGTTTTATTTTTCTCCTACTTATATCTCTATAGGATTATTAGCCCTTATGACCAATGTAAAAGTATATATTTTGTCAAATCAGATACACATCATGGCTACAAACAGCTCTTTTCCTTAAAAATTACGTAGGTAATAATAAGCACATTTAATTGGAAACATTTAATTTTCTACTTCTAGAAATACTATTTATGAAATTCAAGGGCCTAATTTGCACTTCATATGTTTTATTGGGTTTTTCAAAGATTTGCTATATTCTTACCACTGGGGGTAAAAAAAAAATGCAAAAAAGTTGAAAATTGTCTTGCCTTTTAGTAGTTTTACATAGTTTTGAGGGCATATATTTCTCCTACTCACTTCTGTCTGACAAAAAATTAATGAATTTATAAAGTATATTTCCTGGGATCAAAATGGTAGAAAGGACCTTAAAAAATCAGTTAATACGTCTGCTTCCAGTTTAATATCAACAAACCATGAAAGATCTGTCTTCACTTTTCTTAAAGAATCTTATCAAAATTTTTATCAAATGTAAACCAATTGAATATATGTGCCTCTGGGTCTCATAACAGTTCCTATATTTTTTTTTTCTGTCTATGTATAAGTTGAGTTGTATTATGTACCTGTAATAAAGTATGTCATCACGCAAAGATGCTCCTGGGATCAGAGTAACTAACCTAGCCCTGTGAAAGCTAAAACTAGGTGGTAGAATAGGACTACTTGTGATCTGATGCATTTGATAATGTAGGGCATGATTTCCATCTGACTGCCTCTCAGTATGTTACTTGATTTCAGTTGTTTTATATGCATACTATGTACAGTCAATGTCTCTTACCTCTCTCTTGTTTAAATGTTGGAATCAGATCATTTAAAAGCCTATGTCCTCAAGTTCTTGGTTAAATTTGAATTAATATGCAATCAACTAGTATTTATTGAGTCCCTATCCTACACCTAATACTACCCTAGCTACTGGGACACATCAGAGAAAATAAATTTATGCCTTCAAGCAGCATACATTCTAGTGATAATACAGTATCATAATTCATTGTCATAACACTGTGATGGGGCGGAGGGGACATATTGTTGTCTTTTCTAAGCAGCTCCTTTAAGCATTTGTCATAAGACTAGTTAGCCAAACTGTCGTCACTGGTTTTGTTTTGATTCTCAAAGTCTTATAATTTGTACAAGAAGAGCAGTAAAAACTGAAAATTTGTGTACTAAATGGTCTGCATATCCTTTGAAAATCTGGTAATTTTTGTAATCCACAAAATACATATTTTCAGATTAAAATCTATTCAGCAATGGAATTGACCAATTTAAATACCAGTAAAACAGAAACCTGCCACACATTTTAATGCAATGTGCATGGTAAATCAAGAGCTCCACTGAATATTGGATATCGATAATCAGTGGAACTAGTTAATCCAATGCCCTGGGCTGGTATGTATATTAGATGACAGATTCTCCAAACTTTTCTTTTTAAGCATCAAATGAATCAATGTGTAATGGAAGACATTGTTTTTATATTCATTTTTCCTCTCTGAATTTTTTCTTATGTTGCTCATAGAGTACCTATTCAATAATAATAATTTTAGGTATTCTTTTTAATCAAGCAAATTCCACTTTTATGAATATATCCTATGAAACATAATCCATATGTAAAGTTATATGAAAAGGAAGTTAATTTTAATATTATAATAGTAAACAACTGCAAATACTATGAATGTCCAGCAATAGGGGAATGGTTCAAAAATCATGACACATCCATATTACAGAGCTATTCAAGTGACCTAAAAGTATGGATCAGAAGAGATATCCACAATATTAACTAAAAATTATAAAGTGTATTTTCTCACTTCTGAGAAAAAAAAATACTGCTGTAGAAGTGCACTATGTATGAGTTGATCGGCACACACCATATGCCAAGATTACTGACGTGGTGATACTGAATGCAGTGAGAGAGAATACTTGCTTTTTGTACATCCCTGTGTATTGACTTATTTACAACAAGCAAAGTTATCTTTGTCACACACATATATATGTGTAGAAAT